AGACAACCCCGTAACAATATGCGTTTTGTACTGCTGTTACACAGCACAAAACGCATAAAAATGAGGCCGAGACAGAATAAAAAACTTTTGTCAGTAATTTAAGTTTTAGTTGGTGTATGTTTATGAAAGATTGTAAGGAAATAAAAAAAAGGAAATGTGAATAAGTTAAGATTAAAATCTGAATGGTAATGCTTCGGTCTATCAAGTCGCATACATTCCTTGAGATAGGCTGAAAATATGGGGCATCTTGAGATAGGCTGAAAAAATGGGGTCGAGACAGAATAAAAAACTTTTGTCAGTAATTTTAATTTTAGTTGGTATGTGTTTATGTAAGATGTAAGGAAATAAAAAAGGAAATGTGAATAAGTTAAGATTAAAATCTGAATGGAAATGTTTCGGTCTAGCAAGTCGCATACATTCGTATTCAGTGCTGCAACTGGACAACTCGTCAGTGTGACGGTTGCAGCGAAAGTAGCATGCAGTGTCAGTAAAACGAATAAAAAATGATTATAAATGGTTGAAGACGAAGGATGGTAAGCTGATTGTAGCGTCCAGGTTGACCTTGGGTGTCAAAGTAAGGAAGACGTATAAGACACGGAACAGAAAAGAATATGGAGAGAAGGAATGAGATAAGACGTTTCGGCCCATTAAGTCATATACGTCTGGTAATATACGTAGCTGCATATGCATGGAGTAATAAATATCAGCATTGGGAATTGGAACATCGGCGTATTTACAGTCCTGGTGTTTACTCCAAGCATGTTAAGCAGATTGCAGCATTCAGGTTAACCCTGGAAATGCAAATGGCAAGATGTGAAGGAGTTCAGGAGAAAGTAGTTAGATTAGAGAAGGTGACAGTGAGATAAGACGTTTCGGTCCATTAAGTCATATACGTCTCTTAACACTGCGATTGGACCTCGTAAGTATGACGGTCGCTGTGCATAACTAGAAGAAAGAAAAAAGAAGAAAAATAGGAAAAAGGGAGGAAATGAAAGAAGATGAAAAAGCTAATAACGGCCGGACCCAGGTCATTTGAAACATACCGTGCTACTACATTTGTGCGTAACACATTTGGTACCGGTCCCTTTTCTTGTTTCATCCTTGGGCCATAAACACAAGACAGTGTTAGGTGATGGCAATCCACTAATTATTATGCGTTTTTTGCAGGTATACAATGCAGAAAATGCATGTTGATGAGAGGTTGTCTGTGTGTGTGTGTGTGTGTGTGTGTGTGTGTGTGTCTGTACTTATTTTTCGTCTCGAGACCGGCAAAAGCTACAAGGCTGAAACTTTGGGGATATAATCTACATGCACGTACAGGCCCCCATCCCCAAAATGGGCGATCTTACCCGCGTGGTAACCTCTGCATTCATTCCTAGTGTGTGAGACGGAGACACTCGAGAGGTAGCTCGATCGGTAGCAAATGCCAATAGCAACCACCCGTTGGCTAGTCTCTCGATTTCTCCCCTTTTTCACGAGTTGCTTAGAAGCAAGCTGCTGGCAAATTGCCAGTACAAAGTTACCTCGAAACAGGAATGAACGAATCGTAGAGAGATTGGTTATACCGCCGGCGGAGTCGAACACTCCTGGCCTCTGTACCACAACAGTGCTCCCTTACTGCCCCACGTCTTCGGGCATTTATTAACCATGTGAAATGAGCCTCAGAGAAACAGAAAGTGAAAAAGAAAAGGAAGAGAGAATTTCGCAGGATTTTTTTTTCGAAATGCCTCCTAAATTTGGCACAGTATTTTGAAGAGTGCTGGCATTTGATGAATATATAAGCAGACGGAAGGATCCACGGACTTCCTTCCCGGAAAAGACCAGAGGCACCCCTTAATATTTTGAGTTCTTTAAGAAGTACTGGAAAATTTTTTGGAATGCTACTGAAATTACTAATGAAAATAATCAAATTAGCAGCATTAGAAGATCGGAGGAAGACGGAGTAGAGACGTACCGTGCAACTGCATGTGGAATTTTGGTTACAGTACAGGTCTACAAAGAAAATAACAGTCGAATTTTAATATTTAGTGAAACCCCAAAAGCACCATTTAGCTATCCCAGGTGAGCAAACCGGTATTTGAACTAGGTGACGCTTGTGTGTTTCATCCCTGAACTGTAAACACAGACAGCTGAATGGCTGCGAAATGGGGTAGGAATCATCAGTACAGTGCCCCATTTCGCCATGTTGTAGGGGACATGTAAGATTCGGTAAGAAGGATGAGAAAGAAAAAAGGATGCACTTTCAGTGAGCTGGCTTTCCGCATGATGCTTCGGCAGCATGGCGCTCAGCTCTGTTTCACGCCAATGATCCATGCGCATCTGTTC